GTGTGTGTGTGTGTGTGGTGTGTGTGTGGTGTGTGTGTGTGTGTGGTGTATGTTTGTGGTGTATGTGTGTGTGTGTGTGGTATGGTGTGTGTGTGTGTGTGTGTGGTGTGTGTGTGTGTGGTGTGTGTGTGGTGTGTGTGTGTGTGTGTGTGGTGTGTGTGTGTGTGGTGTATGTTTGTGGTGTATGTGTGTGTGTATGGTGTGTGGTGTGTGGTGTGTGTGTCTGTGGTGTGTATGGTGTGTGTGGTGTGTGGTGTGTGTGGTGTGTGTGTGTGTGTGTGGTGTGTGTGTGTGTGGTATGTGTGGTGTGTGTGCATGTGTGTGTGAACGTGTGTGTCTATGAATGCATGCACATGGAGAACTGGGAAGGCAGAAAACACAGCAAACAAAGGCTTGTAAAGTAGCGATCAAGACACCTTATCATCTCTGCAGTTAGAAAAGCCCACCCTTCAACAATGCCAAGCAGCAGCATTGGTGATGAGAATAGACACAAAACAGTTACCAACAAGGGAGTCCAAAACATTCACCAAGACCCCACACATGTAGGGCCGGTCAGTGGAACATGCTGGAAAATGGCTAAGAGGATGCCCCCAGAGGTTTCTCTAGATAAGAATTGTCACAGCCATCCTGTGTCTGGAAAATGATACGATCCCTTAAAACAGCAGGCTTCCCGCACTGCTGGGTATCATCAGCTGAGAGGCCAGCTTGATTGCACATGGCTGCTCTGCTGCCCACGGCCCAAGTCAATGAGAGCAAGATGATTCGGTGACAGCAAGTTCCCTGGGATGTGGCCTAGCACAGAAAAGTACACGCTGTCCTTCTTGGCGTTTACATCCTTAGCACCAGGCCGTGGGGATGCGGCTGATGTGGGTGCTCAGAATAACAGAGCCCACACCTGTCTCCTCAACAAGCTAGGGTCAAAGGGTCTAAGGCCCTCAGGGTTCTGTTGCTCTCAATTTTTACCGTCATTGAAGCCATCGCTGGTAGCCACATGGGTGAATGGTGACTGAGCCCGGGGCTCCTCGCTCAGGGAGTAGCTGTGTTCAGCCTGGATGAGAGGCGCTGGTGATGTTGGAGATGGCTCCACCTCCATGGACACACTCTTCTCTGAGAGGAAAGGGTCATTCAGGAGCTGACCCAAGACGTTCTGGGAAAACTCATCCAGAAGTTCTGAGAAGTGCTGAAAGAAGCAGAGGAGGAAGAATTCAGGTTTTCTTGCTCTTGATCTGACATTCAACACACATACCTCAAGACAAAGAGATGTACGTGTAGTCACTTGCAAAGTCCACTTGTCTGCTTCTGTCCATCAAACCACGGCAGTGGGAGGCTAGAGAGATGGCTCGGTTGGTAAAGTGTGACTGTGCAAGCAACGGTACCCGAGTTTGATCCCCCAGTGCACACATGAAAAGACAGGCAGGGCCAGGCGGTGGTGGCGCACACTTGTAGTCCCAGCACTAGGGAAGCAGAGACAGGTGGATCTCTGTGAGTTCGAGATCAGCCTGGTCTACAAGAGCTAGTTCCAGGACAGCCTCAAAAGTCACAAAGAAAGCCTGTCTCGAAAAACCAAAAAAAAAAAAAAAAAAAAAAAAGGAAAAAAGAAAAAAAAAAAAAAAAAAAAAAAAAAAAAGGAAAAAAGAAAAAAAAAAAAGAAAAGAAAAGGCAGGCATGGTGGCACATGTCTGCAATGCCAGTGCTGGGGAATCAGAGACAGGTGGACTCCAAGGGCCTGCTGACCAGTCAGACCTAATTGAGGAGACCCAGGTCCCTGTAAGAGACATTGCCCCAAAGGTACGGTGAATAGCCCCTATAGGGTTGACCTCTAGCCTGTGAGTACACATACACACACACACACACACACACACACACACACACACACACACACACAGGCGCGCACGCGCGCGCGCGCGCGCGCGCGCACTTATCGTAACTTATTATTCCTTGACACTTTGTGGGTTATCTGGGTGAGGAACTGACTTAATTGAGGTCCCATGATACAGTCACAATGCTTGGGTAAGGGCTAAGCTCAGGCAGCTGGACACCTGGGTCCTCATTCAAGGAAGCTGGCAGAATGGTGGAAATCTTCCATGAAGAACAAAATGAAAGGTGAATGACCTCAGAATCATACATTATTGTCATACAACCTCCTTGTCTCCATGGACGCTCTAGTCAAGGCAAATGACAAATCCAACCCAGGCTCATGGCGTGGCACAACTCTATATCCTGGGAGAAAAAAAAAATGCCCAAATGCACTTGCAGATGAGTGTGGAAGGATGGTGTGAACCCCTGAGGGCCCGTGCTGGAATGATCAGCCACATTCTGTACTAGCAACATCTTTCAATAGGCTCTCCTCTATTTCCACTGAGTGAGAGGGTGGCTATAGCAAGGTGCCCAATTCAAAAGTCATAGAGGCAGTGCTATAGTCCTGATCTAGAATGTTCCCCCCAAAGTCTATGTGTTAGTTTTGGTCCTCACACATTTTGCTATTGAGAGGTAATAGAACCTTTATGAGGTGGGGCCCAGCAGGAGGTCTTCAGGTCACAGATGATCCTGGGTTCTTCTCTCTTTTTCACTTTTCAGCCACAAAATGAGCAGAGCCCTGTTCTGTCATGCACCTACACATCAAAGTACGTTGGCTTGCCCAGAGCAACAGCATCAGCATGAACCAATTAGGCAAAGAGATCAATTATGCAAAGTGACCAGTTACACAAAGGAACCTCCACAACATAAGCCAAAGGAAACCTTCTCCTCTTTTTGTATGTTAATCATATCAGGCATTCCTTACAGTCAAAGTAACTAACTTCTCTTCGTTCTCTCAACTAGATTTTTCTTTCTCTTCCATTTACTCTCTTGAACCATTTTCCATCCTCCATCTCTAGTTCTGTTAACTTCTCAGCCCCTGCCAAGCCATGAACATGCTATAGGAGTAGTCTATATGTAATGTCTGGGGTCACTATATCTCCCTGTCCACCCTCCCACACTGAAGGAGATGAAGCCCCATTAACCCTCCCTCCATCAGAGGGGTGTGACGGTGCTACGAGGAGCAGAGCAACATTTATCACTGCACTGTTGGTATATTGGACTAGATAATTCTTTTAGTTCTGGTGTAGAGGTGGTGGCAGTTTTGTGTGTGTGTGTGTGTGTGTGTGTGTGTGTGTGTGTGTGTGTGTGTGTGTGGTGGGGCTTGGTCTGTATGTTATGGAAAGTTTAACAGCATCTTGGACCTATACCCTCTAGAAGTCAGGAACACGCCCCCTCCCCACTTGGGTGTGAAACCAAAAATGTCTCCCCAAACTGCCAAATGTAAAATGTATCTCCATAATGAAGCCATCCTTGCCACCTATAATTCTATACTGACTCCCGTTTTCAGCAGGAAGCTGGCTCCACTTTCACTCGCCACTCTGCTGCCCTCAGACAGTGAGTGACACAGTCCTCAGAGGTTTAGCAGCATTCAAGATGAGAAGAAAATCCACAGAGACTGCAGCTAATGTCAGACTTTAGGACGACATGAAATAAATAAAAAGACAAAAGAGACCAGGCCTCCCCAAGGCATGGCCACTTAGGATAGGGGCCCTAAACTTCTCCATACATGGACATTATCTGGAGGAACTGAAGAGGGAGACTGTGAATCACAGGTATGCATGGGCCCAAGAAACTTCCTTTGTAACCAGCTGAATCAGAGAGGAGCTGTGAAGCTAAGATTTGAAACAGATTTCCTGTTATACAGTCAGCTAAGGCCAGTGTACACTTCCGGCCTGATGGACTGATGGGCAGTGACTACTATGAGGTGTTTCATGGCATTACCTTTGAGAACAAAACCACAGTAACAGAAAGGGAAGTAAATAATGCAAACCCTAAGATTCAAAAGTAAGAACTGATGACAGTCTGTCCATTTGCAAAACACAATTCTGTCCCAAGCTACAAGGTTAACGCTGGCCGGATAGGTTGGCTCTACTAAGCCACTAGAATCCCGTCCCATCCGGAGGCAAGGCAAAGCTGCCTAGACTGGCCTGTTCTGCTGACACCCTGTTTTCTTTCTCCAGAGCAGCACTAATGAATGTTTTCATGAACATCCTCTCGATAACCAATAATAAACCCCCTGGCTCTGTTTGCCATCCTCAGGCTCCCCCTACTTTGGATGATACAGTAATTATCATGTTATGAAACAATTTAACCCTAATGACAGGCAGCCCTGAAAATTCACAGTTGTTACATCATAACCTCCCCCTCTGGAGAAAAGGAGCTCCCCAGAAGCAAAGACTAACAGTGCCTAGCCACCCACCTTGGAATTAACAAAGGTAACCACTAAGTGGGTTCGGGGACTAAAGAGATGGCACCCAATCAGTTCCACCAGATGCCATGACTCAGACCAGCAAAGGGGTGCTAGCCAGGTCTGCTCAGCAGCTTTGGTCTTGGGGACTCAGCAGGCAGGTCAAACTCCCATTGCTGGTAAAGAGCTCAGGCCAGTACCAGCCCATCATTAATGCCAGCCAGATAGGGAAGCATTGTGGTCTGGTGGTCCAAAAACAGAGAAAAGAACAAAGTGGGCCTCAAAGACGGAGACCTTCTGGATCCTTCAGATACATTAGCAAGTAACTCAAGGGTTATAGAAATGTAGTCTAATTGTTTTAGAGATAATAACATCCCATTTTACCACCCTACCTATTAATCTAGCTCTGCTAGTTTACTTTCATAGCCTGCTCCATACTCAAATGATCACAGGAATCTTGTTGCCTAGCAACCGGCAGTCCAATATCTCTGTCATCTATCACAAAGCCTTGTACTAGGGTCCTCTTATTTCTAATTGATGGATCTTTCCCTACCTTGTTTCTCCCAAGAAAGCGACATTTGCGCCTCACCACTGAGCTGCATGGCAATTTCTTCGAAATAGCTTAGGTGGTGTGGTAGGCTTGCCCGGTAAACTGAGTGACCTATCAGATACTCTCTTACAAGAGAGACATATCTCTGGATCAATGAGAACACTGTAGACTAGGATACTTAAGTACTTTGTCCAGGGTAATGCTATTGATGAAGGAGAGAACTGAAGTTCCATGCCAAGCCTGAGGGTTTCCACATTCTGTGCCCTTTCTACTACAGCATGCTGTCTCACTGGAATCTGCCTCTAATGCTAAGCAGACAGACTCACAGACAGTCCACTCACTAATGAGCACACAGTCCTCCACATGAAAACTGTACAAAAACACCAAGAGTGTTTGGTGCAGAGGTATCTTGTCTTGCCTTCGATGATCCACCAGCAAAGAAGGTGGAGGTATTTTCTGGTCCCCAGTATGTATTTCTGCTATAGGGCTCAGAGTCATCTGAGTTGCAACTGGGTAGCTTCTTTTTAAAGATATATGAATGGCATCAAGAGCAATGACAAAGACTCACTAAAGGAAAACTTATTTTCTGGTCAAGAGGATGAAATCACCAGCCTGGGAAGAGACCTAACCTTCCAGTTGGGCAGGTAAATGACCAGCCTAGGAATACAGCCTCACCTTAAGTCATGCTGAAGAGACAGATGAGTAATGATCCCTTTAAAAAGATAATGCACTTACCATTCCTTCCCAGAAGTCGACCCCCTGCCTAGCACAGTGTCTTATGGGGCTGCAGCTCTATGGCTTCTGAAATCATCCTGCTTCTCTGATTTACTCAGAAAAACAAAATATTTCTTTTTCTTCCTCTTCCTATCTCCGCTCTGAGCACACTTTCTCTGGTACTTGGGGCTTCTTCACTCTTTCTCAAAAGCTCTCCTTCCAACTTTATGGTTGTTTGTCTACCATGTAGACTTGACTCAAACAGCATGGCTTTTTTTCCTCTTCTCCAGATGTGGCCACACTTGTGCCCATAACCCAAGAGCTATAGTAGTGGAGACAGGATGGCTGGGCTTGCCGGCCAACAGTCTAGCTCCAGGTTCAGTGAGAGACCCTGTCTCAAGGGAATAAGGCAGGGAATGATAGAGCAGGACCCCCGATGTCCTCTTCTGATCTCAAAACATGCACAGGTGTGTATATTCTCACACACATGCACATACACCACACACACACACACACACACACACACACACACACACGCACATGCACACGCACACACACACACAACCATGACCTAATGCTAATAACTGTTCCAAGAACATGAAGTCATAGGGGCCAGGAAAAAGAAATGACATGGAAAGAAAATGA